CTTCGCCGCTCGTCCCCGCCTCCGACCTCCGCACCCGAGCTCGAACAGCCCGCTGCACCCAAGTTCGCCGCTGCACCCTGTTCGCCGCCTGAACCTCGCCGTGCTCACCTCTTCCTCTGCTCCGACCGCTCTGTCGACCTCCACCTTCATCACCTACCCGAGCCCCCTGTCCAGCGCCTTCAACCACCGCTGCAACAGCCCCAAACCGCCGCCAGCGCCCCCTGTTCGCCGCCTCGCCGACGAACAGCAGCCGCTGCCTACAGCTGCCGATCCGACCACCTCAGATCCCGTCACCGTCGCCCTCCAGTTCGCCTCCGTCGAACACCGATCAGCCGCCGTCGAGTCGTCGTCGTCAGCCCGAGCCGTCGAACCCCGCTTCTCACGTCGGATCCGATCTGCGTCGAAGGCAAGATCCCGCTCTCCCTATTTTGTGGTTTGATTATTTACATTTTTTATGAATTATTTGCATAGTTTAATTGTGACGTATTTATCTGCGTGTGATTGCTTGCTGAAGAATATTAATTATATCATGGTAATATGATAAATGACATTTTCAGAATACTTATAAGGAATTAAAAGAATTTAGTTCGGCAAAAGAATCATTTTTAGATAATTATAATAATTTAAAAGAATTTATTTTGGAAAATAAATTAGTTTAGATTAATTGTTAAGCGAAATAATTTAAAATGAATTAAATTTAGAAAAAGATTATTTTCTGATTATGTAGATGCTGTTTCTGATTTATATTTCTTATTTTGATTATCTGAAATGTTACGATATTATTACACATGATTAGTTACATTGATTGATTGCTCCATGTTGTGATTGAGAATCATTAGGAGTTTATGACTATAGTGACCCGTATGACACAGTTAGGATCTAGAACATCGTGTGTAGTTGACCTGAAATTACGAGAATTGGGATGAGAAGTCTTGGTCCGTGTGAGCGGTTGTGATTGTTGATGTATATTCCGGGCTCGCGCTGGTGAAGTTTGTGTAGTCACCGGGGTGGGTCCGAGGAGTTGTGATATGAGATTGTTGATGTATTTTCCAGGCTCGCGCCAGTGTCTTGTTTCGGCCTGGGGTGGGTCTGAGGAGTTGTGATATGAGATTGTTGATGTATTTTCCAGGCTCGCGCCAGCGTCTTGTTTCGGCCTGGGGTGGGTCTGAGGAGCAGGGATATTGAGATTGTTGATTATTTGAGATGAGCATAGATCGGGGTTAATATTTAATTATTTATAATTTGAGACATATGGTATATACATGAGGGTTTCCTTGTTTGGATTATTTCACTCGACGTACTACGTCTCTTGTTGTAGATTTTTAAATATTAATTCTATCTATTGTATGATCTTGTTGTTTGGATGATTAGACTGATCGCTAGCTGCATGATTCGTTACCTGATCGATTTTGGATGCTTTATGTTATCATGATTTAGTAGTGTTTTCATGTTGATTTGTGGATTTCAATTGTACGTTCTTTTGTTGTTTCTGTTATCGTATCGTTTTTCGCATTGGATTTTCGTTCGTTCTATTTTCTTTGTGGGGTCGGGTCTTGCCGTGCGCCATGCACCTGACGTACACCTATTTTCTCTGGTGTACGTCAGACTTAGGAGAAGAACAGGTTCAGTAGGAGCCAGAGGATTCTCAGCAGGAGTGCCATGTAGACGGAGCAGAAGAAGAAGCCGAAGCTTAGTCATCCCTTTCAGTTTCTTTTGTAGCACCTTCCATTCTGTTGATCGATGTATTTTATATTTTCTAGTATTTCTTTCAGATAGTCTTGTATAAGGGCACATTTGACCCGAATATTATGCCTGGGATGATAGTCGGTTGTGATATGTATATTTTCTTATTCTGAGTTGTCTTTATATTCTTGCTATGTGTGATCGGGGACCTGTGCCTTTGCATTGTATTATTTCCAGACGCTTAGCGTATTAGGTTGAGAAGAAAAGAAAAAAAAATGATAGTATATATATTTCTTCTCAATCTAATACGTCGCGGGTTTGTTCACGTCCCGATTCCCTGGTATTTTGGGAAGCGGGGCGTGACATAAGTACATATACAATTTGTCTTTGATTTTCCCACTCAAGATCAAAATATTGACTTCATTGTCGGAGGAACAACCGGAGAACTCAACTCTATCATCTTACGAGTTTTTTATGTGTAGAGAAGGACAGAGGGCTCTAGAACAATCATCTAAAGGAGTTAGAGGACCCTAAACACTATCATAACTCAGGCATAAGCCCCCTATTTGATAACTGACATCAACAACTCATATATACAGGGCCGGCCCTTGGGGCAGGCGGGAGAGGCCTGCGCCTAGGGCCCCCAAAAAACAGGGGCCCCCATGTAATTATATATATATATATATATGGAAATTGGAAAAGTAAGAGGATTTTTATGCAAAAGTGTTAGAGGGTATAAATACAAAAACGAAAAACCCTTGGTCTCTCCGATTTCCGAAGTGGCCGTCTGATCGCCGACCTCTCTTCTTCTTCTCTGATTCTCTCTGAAGTGACGTTTCTTCTTCCCGACTCCGTCCGGACCGTCTGCAGTCCGCTCCTCCGCCGTCAAACTCCATGACGCCGTCTCCGGCGACTCCCTCCGCCCCTCCCACCAGCAAGGCAAACACGACCTCGCCGCCAGCGCCTTTGCCCTTTGGAGACTCTGTCTCTGTCTGCAATCTGCGCCTCCTCTGGCCGGCGACTCCGTCAAGGTTACAAGGTATATAAGTATATTTGAATAATTGAATATTTTTATAATTCTATACAGATAACAAACTATACTTAGAATAGAATGATATCTTTGTTTCATCACTTCATGACCTAATAATACTTTTGCTTTGTTATTGATTCTATACAGCACGAATATGTGCATAACATTATTAACATACATGAATTAGTTGTATAAACAAAGTATGAATCTGTGCATAACATATATGAAATTATGAATCAGACTATACTTAGTATATTTGCTGATTAGTGATTAATCAATTAAAACAAGAAACCATAATATGCATACATGCTGTATAATCAAAGTGCGGTACCTGAACAATGAAAATCAGTAGCTAGTGATCCATACTTAAAATGATTGCATCGTGTCCCAAAAAAATCTTTAAGTCCAAACTTTGTTTTTGTCTATTGAATAGGAAGAAGAGATAAAAGTGCATCTTTTAGGATTCAGGCGTGTTGATCTGAAATTTGTTTGAAGTTAAACTATTCAAATTTTTCAAGGTAATTTTATAACTTTATAAATTATAATATTTGTTGATCTTATGTATTTTAGTATTTGTATATAATTTTTTATGTAGGCATCCCTAAAGTTACTTGGGTGCAACACTTTATTTTTTTTTTAAAAATCTTGAATATAGGAGGGCCCCTTTAAGATTTTTGTTCAAGTTTTTACCTAGGGCCCCCGAATGCTCAGGACCGGCCCTGCATATATACGCATGTATATTCGTATCCGTCTTTAATTTTTAGCGGATATAGATGTGATTTTTTTTAATGATGTACATCTGTAACCTTGATAGTTAAGCAGAAATGGATATAATAATTATATTATATCCCAGATGCATCCGGATCGGATGCACCCCTAACACGGAAGGAGTGAGCTCATGTGATTAGAAGTGATCTATGTGTCCTCCAATTGCCTAGATAGGCGTCCCCACACTGGTCGTCTAGCTGTAGCTTTCTTTGACCAACATTTACCTCATATGAGAAGTAATTAATTTTGTTTCTTTCGTATTAAGAGTTTAGAAAAGGATTGAACGTCTTCAATCTTGCCAAATTCCACCGAACGGTTCTTTTGTAACTACCCTGTATCTGATGAAGAGAATCCCGTTCCACTGTCGCTCTCCGCTCTTTACTCTCCACTCCACAACAAAACTCCAAATACCACCCTCAAAAAACCGCACACGTCCTCACCCACTGCCCTCAGTTTAAAAAGATCTTCTTTTCTATAAATCCAAAGTTTTGTCTTCATTTATTATCAAACCCATCCTCTTCAAAAATTTCTATTAAACTAAAAACGCCCCCACCAAATTTATTATACACAATATCTTACAACAAAATATATGATGACACCGTATACCAAACAGTTAAAATACATAAAGATGATTTAGAACTAGGGTTAACTGTGGATACAACCCATTGTACTACTCCCAATTGCAGATAACCCTTGCAGTTATACTTGTGAGAATAGATTTCATGGTGAACTTTTGTTTGACTCTTAAAGTAGTTAATTGAGGAGGCCGGTAGATCCTCATGTAATTATATCATGCGATAGAAAACGGTTTGCTTGTAATTAACCCTTGGAACTAATTTAGCGATGATATGTGGGGTTTAAAAGTGGATTTTTTTAAAGAAACCACCTTTAATATAGTTTTTTTTTTGTTTCCACGAGCCATCTATACTCGCTTTTAAGTATCTATTTTTTTTATTTTTATATAACAATTATTTTTCTAAGTATCAAGCATATTAGAGAGATGATTCTTAATAAATGTTAAGTGATAGCAATTACCAATAATAGTAATAATAATAATAATAATAAGGTGAAAAGCGAGCCTAGGTGTTTTATAGAAATTAAAAAAAAATCTGTAATATGGTTCATCCGTTCATGCATTAACTGAAAACAAAAGATAGAATGAATCTATTTTATTTTAAAGATGGTTAACCTGGGCTTAATAATGAAACAAGTTAAACCTTTGGGTTTGGTTCTAAATATCCCATCCCAAAAAGCCACCCCTGCGAACCCAGGCATGTTCGGCTCTGGGGAACAAAAAGGGCCTCTCCGCCCTGCACACCATCTTCCAAACTCAGACCCCCCCACATTCACCACCGGTCTCACTCAAAACCCATGGGCGCCTCGGACGAGGCCAAAAGAAGAGAAAAACCACGGACCAGAGCGCAGCACGACCAGCAGCTAACGCCGCAGCGCCGGCGATGATTCAATCCACGTGAAGCCCGGTCTTCCTCCGCCTCCGGCGGCGGCGGCAGGCGATATGATGTCAGCAGATGACTTCCCCGCGCGCCAATCCGCGCGCCGCCGAGTACGGCTTGAGATCGAGACCAGGCCTCCCCTAGCCGGGCGCTGCCGCCGGCGCAGCCTCCTCGCCTGCGCCTCGCCGCCGCCAGGCCCAGCAAGATCAGCTCGACCTACGGACCTCGTGAGCAAATGCACTACTGTACGTCACGTGGTGAAGGCCGGCGCGACCTCCCGCCCTGGACGTCACGCGGCACACCTCGACGCCTTCGTCGAGGTGAAGCTGGGCAACTACCAAGGTCGTCACCAGGGTCCCTCGAGAAGAACAAAGCCACGCTCAAAACCAGGTCTTCGCCTTTCCTGCCCAGGATGCGCCTGCCAGGCCCACTTCCTGCGAGGTCTCGTCAAGGACAAGGACCTGGTCACCAAGGACGACTCTGGTCGCCGGGTCGGGTTCGACCTGGCGCGAGATCCCGACCCGGGTCCCGCCCGACAGCCGCTGGCGCCCGCAGTGGTACCAGGCTCGAGGACAGGAGGGGGCTTTCAAGCTAGAGAGGGCGAGATAATGCTGGCCGTCTGGGATGGGCAGCGCCAGGCCCGACGAGGCTTCCCGGACGCGTGGCACTCCGACGCGCATTCGTCTGCTGCTGGCGGGCCTGGCGCAGCACCGGTCGCAAGGTCCTACTTCTCGCCAAGCTTCATGCACCTCCGGGTCCATCGCCATGAGGCGCAGGAACCTAGGCCGCGGCGGACGCCGTCCCGCCCGCCGCCGGACGCCTTCCTCAAGTCCAGCTCGGGGGGCAGCTGCGCCGGACGCGCTCCTCTGGCCCGTGCGCGTTCGGCGAACGCCGGTCTGGAAACGGAGGACTGATCCTGGTGGCGTCGGAGGCCGTTCGACGAGCCGCTGGTCGTAAACGTCGAGGACGCGGGTGGGGCCCGGGAAGGACGAGTCCCCTCGGCTGGTCGTGCTGCCGCTGTCGGCCGTGGCGGTACGCACGCGGACCCGACCAAGCAGCAAGGCTCGTCGAGGGCGCGAGTGGTTCAGCTTGAGCAAGGCGCGAAGGCTCCGTCGGGGACGGCGACGAACAGGAGGAGAAGAAGCAGGAGTCGCAGGTTTAGAGGGCAAGATTCACCTGCGGATCTTTCTCGATCTCGGGTACCACGTCCTCGACGAATCCACGCACTACAGCAGCGATCTCCGCCCGTCGGAGAAGAATATGCGGAAGCCTAGCATCGGGATGCTCGAGCTCGGGATACTGAACGCGAGGAATCTGATGCCGATGAAAGCCAAGGATGGGCGAGGCACTGACGCGTACTGCGTCGCAAAGTACGGACCCAAATGGGTGCGGACACGGACGATCCTCAGCAGCCTCGCGCCCAAGTGGAACGAGCAGTACACTTGGGAGGTGTTCGATCCGTGCACGGTGATCACCGTCGGAGTTTTCGACAACAACCACATCAGAGTCTAGGGACCAGAGGATTGGTAAAATCCGGATTAGGCTGTCGACACTGGAGACTGATCGAGTTTATACACATTACTACCCCCTGCTAGTTCTTCAACCCTCAGGGTTGAAAAAAACCGGGGAGCTTCATCTCGCGGTTAGATTCACTTGCACTGCTTGGGTTAACATGATGAGTTTATACGGCAAGCCTCTTTTGCCTAAAATGCATTATGTTCAGCCGATCCCAGTGGTTCAATTGGATTATTTACGACACCAAGCGATGCAAATTGTAGCGTCGAGATTGACTCGAGCTGAGCCACCCTTGAGAAAGGAGGTGGTTGAGTACATGCTCGATGTAGATTCGCATATGTGGAGCTTGAGGAGGAGCAAGGCGAATTTCTACCGGATCACCTCGCTTCTCTCTGGAATCGGAGCGACAGTGAGGTGGTACGATAACATTCGAAACTGGCGTAATCCGATAACCACGGTTCTGGTTCATGTGTTGTTCTTGATACTGGTTTGTTACCCGGAGTTGATATTGCCGACGATTTTCCTGTATTTGTTCATGATTGGGGTGTGGAACTATAGGTTCAGGCCGAGAAATCCAGCGCATATGGATGTTAAGCTGTCGCACGCTGAGCTGGTGCATCCGGATGAGCTGGACGAGGAGTTTGACACTTTTCCGACGAGTAGATCACCGGAGATAGTGCGAATGAGGTATGATAGGATGAGGAGCGTGGCGGGGAGAGTACAGGCGGTGGTGGGGGATTTGGCGACGCAGGGGGAGCGGGCCCACGCGCTGCTCAGCTGGCGGGATCCGAGGGCGACGGCCATATTTGTTAGTTTTGCCCTGATTTTTGCGGTATTTTTGTATGTTACGCCGTTTCAGGTGGTGGCAGTGATAGCCGGATTGTATTTGCTCCGGCATCCGAAGTTTAGGAGCAGGTTGCCGTCCGCGACGTACAATTTTTACAGGAGGTTGCCGGCGAAGAACGATATGTTGCTGTGAGCTAAGTTGAGAGCAGGGTTTGGGCTTATGTGTAATAATGAGAAATTAGCTTGAATGATTTCATGGTGGGCTGTTTCGTTGTTATTGTTGATTGCATCGTTGAGGTTTAGTTGCATATAATGCTATAACATGAAGTTGTATTTGCAGCTTATTGGTTCAAATTTTTAACATCGGTTGAATTTGAGTTGCGACTTGGATCCTTTTTGCTGCTAAAATGTTCGCAAGTGTGATTTGTATACGAATCTGCGTAAGCTAAAATATTGCAGTTGCACGTAATTGCAGTTACCATCTCTACAATTGAAGCCAACCCAACAACCCTTCACTTTTTTTGTTCACGGTACCTTCGCTGTGATGGAAACTTCTCTGTAGATTTTCTGAGAGTTGGGGGTGGGGGTTGGAGTCGGTCTTCGCTGCAACTTGAATAGTGTCTTTTTCTGTTTATGAGACGATCATGTATGATGAGCAGAATCCCCCTCTTCCGTTTGTTTTTCTCTTCGAAACGCACGGCGGATGAGGGAATAAAGTGGCAGGTTGGGGCCATGATGCGTGCGCCTGCAACTTTAGATTGAAAACAGCTTGCAATTCATGTGACACAGGTCACCAGGTTTTGTCAGTTCATCTTTTGTGGGCAGAGACAAATAGAAACAAAATCATATGCATGTTAATAGATTCCTCAAGTACAAAATTCAATCCAGCTTAAGAAATTTGAAGATGGTAAAAAAGAATTACTGGCTACAGCTATAGAAGATTTGAATTCAAATGATATCTACGCATGAAGCACAACCTGCTTTCCAAATACATCCACTGGACAGCTTAATACTCTACATCAGAGTGCATTCGTATTTTCACAATGATACCCATAAACATAAAAACCAAATCTTTGCTTGTTATTCAAATTCATGATAATGCATTCATCAAAATATTCATCATGCAAGACATTAGACAACATGCATTTAAATAGGCCCACAGCACACTTCTGGACCAAACATTCACTCCAAATTTTATATGCTAAATGAGGTACAATATCCACAACAAAATTCAGAAAGAATACAAACTCGCATTGCTGTTTAATTAAATGATACAAGGAACAACGGAGCTACCATAATTGTGAAGCTTGTGAACATTCCAGCAATCAATATCCACAACAAAATTTAAAAAAAGAACACATTTCAACCGAAAACAGCTTTTGCTTTTGCTGTTAATTAGATGATATAAAGAACAGCAGAGCTACAATAACCATGAAGCTTGTAAACATTCCCGCAATCAATATCCAATCCAAAGTAGACAGCCTGCCTCTAGTTCTTTCTTGTTTATCTATGCTTCGCATCTCGTCTTCATTACTCTTCTTCTCAGATTCTTGTGTCCTCTTCCTCAGTACTAGAGACTGAATAGAATTAACCAAACTTCTGCTTCTCGAATTTCCGTTTCTGGAGCTATCCATTATGATGCTTTCAGGAGCTTCATTTTCCATACAACAGATTTGTTCACAGTTCTGTGATGGTATGAGAGAGCAAGGTTCCGGGTCCTTTGAACACGTGCAATCAGTGCATGAATATGAGACAGGAGAAGTTTCAGTCATGGAATTACTTTTGGAAGTGTTGATGTTTACTGGTTCCGGGTTTCCTATAACTTCACCAAAGACCGACCACCTTGCAACTGATGTAATTCTTGCATTTATTGAAGTGCCAAGAAAACTCTCTGGGGCAATT